ATTATTATAACCATTTTTTTTTCTTTTTTATTATTTCATATATATATATATTTTTTCATTTTCATTTTTACGTTTCTCCGTGTTAGTAAAACACTCCGAGAGAACAATGACAGCGCACATCTCGGTGTAATAAAATATATACTTATATATTATTATTAATAATATAATCATTAACATTATCTGTTATTTTTATTATTATTAATAGTATTATTATTATAATCAACGTTTCGTCATTATTGTTCGCAATACGATCGATTTCAATTATTGATCGAGCAAATCGTTGATATTTTTAATGATATAAATATTGTAACGTTTAACAATGCGTCTCTTTTACGATATAAAATTTATAAAAATAAAAAAAATAATAAAAATAAAGTTCAATTAATCTCCGATTTAACGTTAACGACGCTATTTACGATTCACAATTGTTATATAGAGATAAATAATATATATTTATATAATAATCCTGTATTATTAAATCCACTTACAGTACATAGATCGAAGTATTTGCATTATGTGAGTATGCCCTATAAATAAATTTTTACATAAGATCTTTTTTGTTAGGTATATACATAAAAGCACTTTTTCCCAAATAATTAATTTGTCAAATTCTTTTCGAGATCGTTCGAAAAATCACATCGTTTATTTTTCTTCTTCCATATCAAGACAAAAAATAAAAGAAAAGAAAGAGAAATTGTACTTTCATAAAATGAATAAATTGTGAGGATCGATAATTGTGTTCTCGTAATTATGAAAGCGTAGACTAATTGTAAGCCAAAAATATATTAACAAAAAAACATTAACAAAAAATTCATTTTATGATTTATTTTTTAAATATAAATAATTGTAACACGCGCACACAAAAGATAAATCATAAAATAAATGTTTTCAATTTGTTGACTCAATCTGCAATCATAATTACCGACACATATAAAGCTCCAAATTCGTACGAACTATAGTATCTCGAGAGAACGATAACCGGTAAAGCTGATATGTATGCGAAAATATGTGTATTATGTTTATATATTAAATATTATATTCATGCAAATCCAAAAAAAGAAAAAGAAAATGATACCAAGATGCGATATTACACATTATCGTTTAAAGAAAAATAATCTTTGTAAGTATATGCGCACACACACACACACACACACACACATGTTGCACGTGTTTCTATATAATAGGTATTTTGTGTGTACGAGTATATCGCGGGTGTTTGTGTACGTATGCATGTATGTATGCACGTACGTATGCACGTACATATGCAGGTACGTATGAATGTATGTATATGTAAAACATCGTGACGCAAATCCGGCCTCTCTCGCCGACTTTCGATCTTTCGAAAAAACATGAAAAATGGCGTAGTTGGGTACGCTCTCCTCTCTCACATCAGGCAGGTTCGAGCATTGTATATACGTATAGTATGTGCCTTACCAAGCGAGAACGTAAGATTAACGCGGTGATCTTTAAAGCAATCTCCGCAAACGAGCCGAACGCTTTGTCTCTGTTTATTGCTGCCCGTCGCTTATAAAACAAGCCCTCTCTTCTCGAGAACTGAGAACTTCTATCTATCTACCTTTACCTCTTTCTCTCACCTGTGCTCCTTTTTTACTATCGATGGTAGGATTATCGATGCAAGGAAAAGAGAAAGAGAGAGAAAGAAAGGGATGCAACGAATCCTAGGAGTGCATGTTAGCAAAGTTGCACGCAAAATTTCAACAAAATTTCAACAACAATCCGAAAACAAACCGAAAGATAAATAAATAGAAATTAAATGAACACTAAACCTATATAGGTCAAACAACCGCGTCCTGTAATCTGTACAAAATTCGGTGAAAATCTTATTCTATATAAAAATATCTGCTTTTCTTTCATTAGACCGCTCACGGTAGGAATACATGAAGTGTCCGGTAGGTTTAGTGTTAATTCAAAGAAATCAATTAGATCGAACTAGAGGGTAATTATGATTTTCCCTCTCTCACCCAGAAACTCGAAGGATAATCGCGACTTTGACGTCTCTATCGTACATCATCCAAGTCCGATAGGAAAGAAGGAGGATTATTCCCCGTAGAGGGTTTTAACACAGCGTGCACCCCGGTACCCGCGGTATCGTCCAAATCGAACAGGCTAGTACAAGTGCTCTCGGCACTTTACGATCCCATTATATGCAACTCTCGAGGTAGTCCCATAGCCTCTCTCCCCCATTCTCATTCCAAAGGTGTGCATGTGCGAACTACGAGAGGAATCCCCCCTACCCACCCTCTCTCAGTTCTTTCGAAACCCTCTCGATCGATCTATAGATCGATAATCTTTGGCTAGTCGCATAGGAGAAACGAGAGATCGCGTTTTAAACGATCGATTGTGACGAAAGAAATCCGCTGAATCTTTTCATCTTATTTTTTTTATTCATCAGTTTCTTTTTTTTCTTTTTTTTTTTCTCGAATTGCTCTTTGTTTTTCATTGTCCTTCGAAACGTATCGCGATTCTAATCGCAATTATTGAATATTTGTATGTAAGTGTGTACTTATGCATTTGTGTATGCTATACCGGCTCGATCTCGAATACATTATATACACGATCGCTCGCGTCAAGTTATTATCGTTGTTCTTATTTTTTTATTGTGTTTTAATATTATTGTCATTGTTCTTATTGATATTATTATTATTATTTTTATTATGTTATATTAAAATATTATGTAAAACTCGCGCTGGAATAAATAAGACGGATATTTAGGTAAAATATATATATATATATGCATAAATCGAGATTGTACATACACAATCTTAAGAATCATTCGCGAATAAATCTCTCGCTAAGATTTTCTGTTAGTCGATGATTATAAAATTTACTCTGATACATATAAGTTACGATATGTATTCTAATAAAAAATGGAAAAAAAAGAACAAGAAAAAGAAATAGGACGCGATTACAGAAGATGGTGCAATTAATAATGAATGAATTATTATGAATAGATAAATATGAAAGAAAAATGGGTAGGCGAGGGTGGTGACGATTAAGAAAAAGGAAAAGAAAAAGGTAATTATAAATCTCATCGAGTAACTCGGCTAAAGACTCACCTAAGTCATTTGCCATAGAATCTTAAATAGATTTGTTTTTTAAAATATGTATATATATGTATGTATATATACTATATTATATTATACTATACTATACTTATATTTATCCTTAAGATACTAAATCGTTCATGGAACATACAACGTTTAATATATCATAGATATATGGGACCAAAATCACCGGAACCAGCCGTACGCGTTATGCCGAAATTAGCCTCGAGCGAACCACGAACGAACCGCGACCGCATAGATTTTCCAAAATGGAGAAACGAAAAACGAATGCTCGAGATTTCGAGTTGAAAGGTCGACACGGCAAGTCGTAACTGATCTCGATTTGACACGAGCCTTCTTCGATACTTGTGTGCCTTGGGCGCCACGATGCGAACCACGATGCGAACCACGATGCGAACCACGATGCGAACCACGATGCGAACCGTGCATTCGTTTTTCTTCCTTCTTCTTGAAAAATCCTATACGAGTTATATATTAAGGGAACCGGAAAGGTATCAATTAGTTTTCATCTTAATGCTACTTTTCCAAAAAATGTCAATTAAAAAAGTCATTGAGGTGGTAATAGATATGAATTTTGTTCACTGGAAAATTGAATAGTCCTAAGAGAAGAATGGGAATTCCATAATGGATTTCTTTCCGGGCCTTAAGTAAATAATAAAAAAAAAGATATTTTTTGTTTGTAAATAAATGACGGATCGAGCGTTAAAAGCGAACAAGTTCCGCTTGGGTATTCGATCGCATCGCGTTTCGCGGTTTTCCGTTGAGTTTCGCTCGAGGCAGAGAAAACCGGCGACGGCGAAGGGTTACCAGCAAGCAATCGTGAGAACAGAGATAGGAAAGTATCCTTTCCTCTTCCCTCTTCTCCGTTCGAGAGTCTCTCCACCCACGACAACAACAATAACAATTGATATGTAGACTGTTACTAAAAAAAAAAAACTACTGCCGTTGCTAAAGAAAACTACTCGTGATTCCCGCTTTCCTCGAAGAACAAGAAGAAGAAAAAAAAGAAAAACAAAAAAAAAAGAGTACCTTCGTCTTATGGGATTATTCCGCCATAAATTTAGTTTCCTTACTTACACGATCTCTCTCCCGGGCCGACCTTGGAGTAATTGAACATCTTCGGATCGACCTCAACAACTACGACGTCTTCTACGTCATCCTTGTGGTCGATCTTCTCGAAGAAGCTGGACAACCAAATACCCGAGAAAAAGAAAAAAGACGAAGGAGAGTGGAAGAAGCCACGTGAAAACCGCAAGGACGAACTCATGGCAAAGGAAAAAAAAAAATGTTAAGAATACAAAAATCCATGCTATCTCGTTTCTCTCCTCTTCGTCTCCCGTTCGGCCTCTTTTTCTCGTATTATCCGTACCATTGTAAAAGATTCAGTCCGTACTAGTAGAGATCGTGCTGCGCCAAAAAGAGAAAAGATAGCCGAGAAAAAGAAGAAATTAATAATAATAATAATCATATATAAGTATATAATAATATCGCCCAAAACGGGCGTACTAAGGTGGTACCCAGCTGATGCTATTCGATTATCCATGGAAAGATAAAATCGTTTAACACTCGCCGGATCTCGTGATCGTGAATTTTCTTTACACGTTGCTTTCCAAAGCCTCCATATCCCTCCCCCTTTCTTACTTAAACCCCCCCGCCCCCACATCATCATGTATATATACATGATTCTTCATTTTTGTCGTTATTTTATTTGATATCGACCTCCGTACTGATTCTTCCTCAGCAACAACTCGGACGCATATGCATATAATACTCGCTTATACGATTGAAAACGTGCATAGATCTTTTGATTTAGCTTGTTGGGACGGATATTCGCTCGTAGAAAAAGACGGAGGTCGTTTGAAAAATATATACGTATAGTAGCTATTATATATGTATAACCCTGTTTGTCTTCCTAGCCCTTATTTTTCTTCCCTTCAAATCCTCCCTCCCCTCTTATGGATTTGTTTGTTTTTTTTTTCTTAGAGACAATAGGGGTGGCAAAATTGATAAACCAGTCTCTGGCTACGTTCCGTTTTCTTCATGATACCTTTTTTGTAATACTGTCTGATACTACGACTAAGTTTGTCGTAGTTCATGGCAGGCCGATTTTTACGTTTGCCCCAAAGCCTAGCAACCCTAACCGAGTCTTCGATTTTGAAAACACCCTTTCCCCGATCCAACCAACGTATGCAGGAACCGTGGACCCCTGGACTCTGAAGAAGTTCCTTTAGGAATTGCCAAAGATGAATATGGGAACCACCGTTTCGCATTTTGCCGGACGAATTAGCGGCATTGGCGTTGTTCCCTGTTTGACCGCTAGCGCAATCGTCATCCTCGTCTGAAACAAACGGAAAGATACCTGTTTTTTTCCTTATTTTCTCAAGAAAATCACATTCTCCCAATTGTTTCATTGGATAAATTCTATCTTACCATCGGAGAAATCGATGCTACAGGTTGAACCCTTGACGTTGTTCACCGAGGGAACGTTGCTAACGGCAGATGTTGGTGGTGTTGAAGTGGGATTACTCGGAGTTTGGACCACTCCTGTGAGACTCCAAGAGGCTGCCAGTGTATTCCTAGGTGATTCCTCAACCGCGGCTTTCCAGATTTCCAATTGCGCGTGTAACATACCGCCGCACTGAAACGTGATAATAGGAAAATCATGAGTCGCCAATTAGAGAAATTCTCGCATATAGGATATTTCATTGGTAAGCATGGCGACCGTTTAAAGGAAAAAGTATTGGAGGAAAGTTCGAGATGACGATAAGAATGAGTAAATATTATTAAATAAATAAACAAAATAATGACGTATAGAAAAAAGTATAATAAAAGAAAGAAGAAGATAAAATAAGAGACCAGCGTTAGAATTCCTTACCGGAGTCTGGGGCCGTTGCTCTTCGCGCGTCTTTTAAGAGAAAGAGAGAAGAGAAAGCGGCTTCTTGTTCGTTGGCTTGAAATAAGGAGGAGGAAAAGGTAGAGAAGGAGAAGAGGAGTTAGGAGCAAGCAGACTCGGGCAAAGCAGTCAGGCATTCGGGTAACGCCAGAGCCGTTGACCTACTTTTCTCAAACGTTCGAACGAGTCAGCCAATCGGAGTGGTCGCGCACGTAGGTGAACACCAATCGGTAGGTATGATTCCGAGTCGGAGAAAGAAAGAAAAATAAAGAGAGAGATAGCACCTTAGGTGCAGTTATGCGCTCTGCCCTAACAGAGTTTCTTAAGCTTGTACGAGCGGGCTCGATGTGTGTGTATGCATGCATGGACCTACGATCATGGGGAGCTACGATCATGGGGAGCTACGATCATGGACCTACGATCATGGACCTACCGGTACGTCGATCTCTTTCGAAATATTCCGCGAATCGATACGAGTATAGGGCAGCTATACTTGTTAAAAATGACGATGCTAGCGATGATAGCGATCTAGAAACATTTAGATGAATCGACGATACAGGAATCTGGAATAAGCGTCGACATTTTTGGCTAAATGCTGAGACGGCTTGTTACATTAACAGTCCATCGCGATGAATCAACAAGAGGAATTTTAGTTGACTCGATCAAACGAGTCCACGGGTTTAATCGAGAAATGAATATCTTTTTATTTGAAGCATTATTAATAATGACGATGGTAATAATGATTATAAGAAATAACGAGCAATAATATTAGTACAATCGCATTTCGAAGGATACCTTGTTTTTTAACGGGCAATAGCGAATGAGTGTATTATTAGAGTGTCTCGTGCTTAGTCATGTCGAGTGTTGCGCACCATGCAAGCAAGATACACGAGCGCGCAAAATTACACGGAAAGAACGCGCACGGACGCACGTTGCTTTCCAGGAAATTCACTTTCACCGGACCTTGCCGGCCACGAGAACATTTCTCGACATAGCTGTTGTTGCTACGAAAGAGAACTGTTTCGATATCTCACGGGCAATTGCTTGTTGCTCGCTTCTTTCGAAAATATCGATTGCACTTCCGATTTGTTCTTTTATCTAATTTTAAAGTTTTACATTTGTTAGGAATTCGGATCGAAGATAGGCTCGTATTATTACTCAGAAAACGATACAGGTTTTGCAAGGTACTCACAACGATACAGGTACTCTTCCAGGAAACACCGCGAAAATTTCGCTTTGTTAAAACTCGCAGCTCCAATCAGAATTGCCGGCTACGAAGCATTGCATAACGGGACTTGGACAAAAGTTTGCGTCGCGTTTTACTTTTTTTTAAATTCCTATCCCTTACCTGAGGTGCTCTTTGGCAGAATTCTTCTTCCGTCAAGGAAGCCAAGGTTGCACCATCCACGTTAAAACTTTCCAAGGGTACCGAGGGTAATTGCAATTGTCTTCTTGCCCATTGTACCCAGGCTGCCACGTCTGCTGCACTCCAACGTCTAGGTTCTGAAAACAAACGTACATGGCTTAGGGGCTAGTTTCGTAAACTGCAAGCTCTCGATTAGAAACGCGAAATGTGTAAAAGACTACAAAATAAATGCACAAATAAAATAGAAAGGAAGAGAGGGAGGAAAAAAGAAAGAAATATAGTTTCACGGTAGTCGAGTAGCATTCGACGTAAAAGATAAACGGAAAGTGTAGTGACCTTGAAGAGAGACCCGAAATTTCGTAACCTCATCGTGAAAGCAGACTGTTTCTGGCTCGTGACTAGGTAATTTATTCGAAACGTGACATCATATTGTGGCTGAGAGCGAACTAATAGGCTAACCGGTCGCGTGCATCGAAAATACTTCACGAGGACTCTCTCACTGGTTAACTAGTTAGCCAGTTAGTCAGTTAACCAGCTAGCTAGCTAACTTACGAATCCTCGCCCGCGGCAAGGTAGCGAGTGGACTCGATCGATCGATCCAATAAAAGACAAGGATCACTCGTGATGATATGTAAGACGTCTAGATACCCCGATAATCCTAATTAATAGTCAAGGATATATATTCTCCTTTGTCAATATTAAACTCGAACTATTATTAATCCTTCGAATTTTTGTCGATCTAAAATGTTCTTTTCTTGACAGCGAAATGATCAATTTGAAAAACATTTCTTTCTTTTTTTTCTTTCCTTGCCATCCTTCTAAATGCTATCAAACACAAAAGTAAGTCACGTATAACGGTGAAACGTTCTGAGCAAGATCAATAAGACTGCGTTACCAAAGTTGTCTAGAGAAAGAGAGGAAATATTGTGAAAGTTTGATCAACTCACCAGGATGGATACCCAAAGCAACGCAAGTATTGTCAAAGTCCTTCTGAAGTTGTTGAATCGCCAAACTAAGGACAGGCTCTATCTGTTCCCTGGCCAGATCACCGACACATTCGCCAGACTCCATGTCCTCGACGAAACCAGTACCAACGCCACCAAGATCGACTGGTCTCAAATTGTATTTTCTTTGAAAACTCGTATCGCGTAAAACTTCTCGAAGGAGCTGATGATCGCTCTTTTGATTATCCTTGAACAATTGTTCTTCCTTCTCGAGAGGGTTGCTTGTTTCGTCTTGGAGTTTTTCTACTTTGAGCTGGTTAATTTTAGGGTTGTTGACGAAGTCCTTTCTAACTCCTTTGAAGAGTAATTCGCGTAAAGGCGACGTGCTTTCGAACTCGATAGGTCCTGGCGAGGACGAAGCAGTCGATGACGCCGATGACGCCGGCGACAACGATGACGATGACGATGACGATGACGACGACGACGACGACGACGACAACGAGGAAGGAGAATTACTACCAATACTGTTGCTACACGAACGCGGTTCCTCTTTGAAAAGAATCTCTTTGAGTAACGGATGTTGACCCTGGACGCTACTGGTATTTTCTTTTTTAGCAAAAAAATCAGCGTCTAAGCTATTGTAGATATCTTCTTCGGTTCTGGGTGGTGTACAAGGAACGGTACAATCCGTAGAATCTTCTCGGTATCCTAGACTCTCTGCCAAGAGTCTAAAAACATATAACCAAATATCTTGTTAAATCGAATAGAGATGTGATAATGATATATAATGAAAATATAGGATATTTATTACCTTGATTCCTGAAGAATAGCAAGCAAGTCGAGACTCTTCTCTCTTTTGACCGGTTGTTTGCCAGAGGGTTCAGGACTCGTCGGATAGAATTGTGCACTTTGAGGACTTCTTGGAACGTAATAAGGACTGGTAGGGTATCCCGGGGAATTTTCGTGCGAATAATTAGGCGACAATGGTAATTCGCAAGCTCCAGCACCAGGACTCGGATAAGGTGGGCTCGGATAAGCGGCCGTAGTTGTGGTTGTAGCTGTTTGCGTCGTTGTAATCGGGGAACCGGGCCGAGGAGAACAAGCTTCTTGCTTGATCTGTGTTGGTTTTAGGCTTGTTTGAGCATTCGCAAGACCGTAATCGTCAGGAAGAAGAGACAAATCGAATTGAAAGGTACTGTAGTCGAACGACGGCGAGTAGCCAGCCGCTGAAGGCACTGTTTGTGGCATCTGAAAGCACCGCAACAAACTTTTTTTATAAACCATGTATAAACGTACTAGATTACAACGTTCGATGTTGTTATTTTCTAAGAGAATCGATTTCTTCGCGATAAGATGCTCGTAAACGTTTTAGATTCGGTGGCTTATAAAAAGAGATTAACTAGAGGAACTCTAAGTTTAAGATAGTTCTTTGAGTCGTTCGATTTTTAAGGGCCTCGTTTATTCACTATCCCAGTCTTTATTGCTTCCTCGAGTGACAGGACTCGAGTTTTAGATTTATTATTGCTCAATTCTTTAGAAACAAAGATCCTAATCGCTTAGGTTTATACCTACACGTACCATACATACTAGAAAATACGATACACATACCTATATTTAGCACAATTAAAAGATTAAAATTCAGGATAAATCATCGCACGCGGAAATTGAAAAAAAATCCTATACAATGTGCAAACAATTTGTCGGAGCGAGAGAATAAAAAAAAAGGAAAGAAGGGAAGGAAAGAGAACTATGTTGGCGTTGATATTACGATGTTGGCAGGATAGCCTGTTGCTAAAGAGAATATCAAGATGAAAATCAAACAGTTTGTTAGCCCAAGAAAGAAGGGGCCCACAACGTGTCCGCGAGGAGTCGGACCTTAATGGTGGGGGTGCGTTAAAGGCCCATTTATCTCTCGACGCGTTTATTGCCTGTCGCGAGCGCGCCTGACCTCGCGCCTCTCACTCTCTCTCTCTCTCTCTCTCTCTCTCATCCATAAAAACTGCCGTGGAATTAATTTTCTTCAATTCTTTTTGCTAATCCTTCAAATTGAAATCATTCCTATTGTGTTTTATGCTTTGATTTCTATGCTTTTTCTTTTGTTTTTCTATTTCTCTTATATTTCGGTATGAAATGATGCACCCATCTCTCTCTTTCTCTCTCTCTCTTTCTCTCTCTCTTTGTTTCATCTTTTAATGATACTCTTCAATGGCAATCATCGAACGCATACACCCCACGTCCAAAGCAATATTATTTATAGTATAGAGTGTATGAAAAATGTCAGAATGCGAAGTACCCATCCCTTTTCCAAGGTATCGCCAGAAGGGACGGTAAGGGCAAGCATATTCGCGCGCTATCCATCTCTCTCTCTCTCTCTCTCTCTCGTTCTCTCGATGTGGTGCACCTTAAGGGCCCATTTGTCTTTCGGTGTGTTTATTGCCCGTCGTGTGTTTGACCTCGCATCAGTTTGTTACGCTTTGTAAGCCCATTACAACGTTCCCAGTGCATCTTCTCTACCATCTCTTTCTATCTATCTATCTATCTCTCCCTCTCTCAGGCGGGGTCGCGTCTGACATTTTGACGTAGTGCCCTGCAAAGGTCGACGCGAAATAAACGATTATACCAATACACCGAGACTCGTGGCATCTTGCAAGACTCTTCTTACGTCTCGTAGAAAGAAAGGGAGAGAAAGAGAGAGAAGTCGTAAAGACTCGATGGGCCCCCATAGTCTTACATGTACACCATTGTAAAGTCTTCACAAATACATACGCTATGGTTTACTATGGCGAATACGGCGAGTACGGCAACAAAAGAAAGATCACTTATACTTCTTGGATTCTACTTTATTTCAACCCTTCAGCTTACCATACCTTCCCTTCCCTTCCCTTCCCTTCTTCCTTCGACGCCGACAGACGCTTATTTATCATTCATTCCTATTGATTGTCTTTTTTGTTTTTTCATATTCTACTTATATTATATAATATCAATTTATAAGTGAAACGCGTATAAAATGCAAACTTGTTCAGAGACCGTTCAATATTTTATTGAATGTTATCTCTCTTTCGAAGACCAGTTTTACTGACGTCATCTGACAATTCGAACGATGCAGTATCTCATGTCAGATTAAATTTCATCGGTGAACCGATGAAATTTCCAGCGAAAATCTTGTTAACTGTCGATCGAATAAAGATAAGAAGTCATTTAGTTTCATTTTAATTTCGATTGAAAATGGTGTGACACAAAATTTATCCAAATTATTTATACGTTCTTTTATATTATATGTTCTCCGACTTGACTATCTTTATCTCTATCAATCCTAACATATAAGATTTAGTAGGTGGATCATCGCGACGATTATAAATCCGTAAACTAAATGAACCTGCGCTATATTTTCTTCAAGCTGAATAAATATACCGAAAATACGATTGCTAATTTATAGATTTGTCTTTCCGTATTTTCATCTCTTTTTCCTTTCTACGCGTCATCGTTATTCATTATTTTTCCTTTAATAGGTATAAATATTAATAGACATATTTTTTAATATTAATTAATTACAACAGAATAAAAACAGATAGGGAGAGAAAATCACGAAGTAAAAACGAAAGATAAAAATGGAAATAAAGTAATTATACCGTACACGAAAAAAGTCATTAAAGATAACGGGATTATCATTAAAACGAGTAGAATTTTGCAATAAACTATATTCGGTCTTTCTCGTTGAACTTCGTACTGTGTGCCATGACACTTTCGATAAAATTCAATCGTAACGATAAAGTGTATGTGAGATAAATTATTTAAGAAATGCTAATTAAATAAATAATATATTGACACGTATACCACGTGTATAGAAAAAAACACGATCTATTTCCTTAATGGTGCAATTATCATTATTATTATTACTATTTGCTATATAAAAAGAAATAAAATATGAAATGTTGGTAGATAATTCAAGTGACGATTATTACTATTATATTACTAATACTTATATTCGCAAGGTTAAAGCTAATCTTAGAGCACGTTCTCATCTTATACAGTTACGATACCGTACAACGTCGATCGGTTACGCGTTCGATTCATTCTACTTTAAATACAAAGAGTAAAAATCAAAAAGACGAAGAGCAATAAAGATAAAAAGAAAGATGGAAAGAGAGAGAACAATTAAGAAAATTTCATTTAATTCTATGTCCAATTCGATGAACCATACTTTTTTAAAAGACGTCTTTTTCGAACCTCAATTCTATCATCTTGAAAAAAAATAAAAAAATATTCGAAAAAAACATCGTGTCCTTTTCTATTGCTATTAAATTTCATTTTAATCGTTAACAAATAAGCACGATCCGTTATGCAAGTTTGTAGATTCGTCTTATTCCCATTTCTACTTTTATTTCCTTTTAATATTTTCTTTTTCTTTTTAGATCGGAGCATTAGAATTCGGGAGACATTTTTTCTGGATCGATAAGTTCATTGACCTCGGTCCGAACCGAAGAGAGAACGCGAGGTTCAAGGTTAACGCACTTACTCGCGATTCGCAAGACGATACGAACCGAACCCCCCCCCCTTCTTCGTTGATCCTTTCGAAAAGACTAGTCATTTTTGTTCTATCTACTATTATTTTTATTTTCTACCGTTGACATTTAGCGAAGCCGGTGAATCTTCGAACGCATACGTTGCGTTTCTTCTTATGCAATCGTAATACTTGGAGAAAATCAAAATTATTATTATAGAGAGATAATTATACACGTATATAGGTATACGTAAAAACATATATATTAAACATTCATCATCATTTGTGTAATACATTTCACATTATTATTATATCATATAAAAAAAAACAGTCAACTATGAAAAAATCATCTGATCAAAGTAACTAACCATAAGTGAATTTAAATTCTGATTCATCGAATATCCTTATCACAAGACAAGGTCAAGATTTATACGAACCGGTGAAAAATGCAAGCAAGTAAAAATCCCTTTTTTTCATACTTTTTCTCTCTTTTTCTAACACGCATACGCAATCGATCGACGTATACTAACAAGTAATAGCTTGGAGAATATTTATGAGAGGAATTTCCTCGCAAATAATCGTCATCGATTGTAAACGGTATAAGCAAATAACGTTCTGTTTGATTCCCATCGCATTGTTAAAGCGTAATTAATTCGTGCCAATGCTAAATGTGTTTAACTGATGTCAGAATGCGTCGACGTATGCACCTACGTATTCGCAATTATGAATTACGATTCCCCTACGTCATAGCCATCAATTTTACTCCAGATATAAATGCATTGTAATTCTATGTCGAAATAATTAAATAAAAAAAAAAAAAAAAAAGACCAAATATCTCACATTACATCTGAATTATTTTTTATATAATTGCGTACGAATAAATATTACGGATAAGAAAAATCAATCAGAATTATCAACAAAAGAGTAAAACGAAAAATAAAAATCTTGAATGAACGAAGATTAAAAATAAATACTAGTAATCGATTAAAAGCATTAATTGCAAACGAAGTTCGTGTCGAAAGCATAGCAATTATTGTTTTTAACGAGTGACGATTGATGTACGAGTCATATTCTTCATCTTCGTTAATCTCCTCGTAAAATTTCTTAATTAGTAAGTAACGAGAAACGATCCCATTAAATAACAAAAAGCCACTAATGAAATCAACGAGATCCAAAGGAAGAAAAAACAAACAAACGCTAATGATAAATCTTAAGCTGACTTTTTCTCCCTCCTATGATCACGAAGGAGAGAGAGAGAGAGAGAGAGAGAGAGAAAAAAATTGGTATGAACTAACGTGTCCCACGCAAATCAAACGAGCTAGATCGAGATCAAAAAAGAATAAAAAAAAAAAAAAAAAGAAGAAGCAAAGGAAACGAAAGGAACGTCGTCGATCTTCAAACTGGTTTATAACGGTCTCTTGATCGCTACCAAATAACAAAAAAATAGAAGGGGAGAGAAAAGGAAGAAAAGGATTTGCTCGCACGTGCGAGATATTCACAAGGTCGATCTTTCGAAGTTAACTTTTTTGGAACTTCATCTTTGAGAAGTTTTTTTCCTCTCTTCATTAACTTTACCGATGTGAACAGTGGAATTAAATTACGCTCGACGCGATTTTCTCTTTCGATTCTCCAAGGTTGCTCCTTTCGATTCCATACTCGTTTGGAAGAAAAAAAAAATTGTACAAAAAAAAAAATATATATATATATACATATGTGTAAAGAATCAATGAGATGGCAAAATGTTAAC